AGTTTGAAAAGCCATTTAGCTGAGGATGTACTAGGGTACCCATGATATCATAATTAATGTATCTTCAGAAATGCTTTTATAATCACATTCCCTCTCCTTTTGTTTTTCCACTTGCCCCTCCAATACTATAAGCTACAAGAAATGTGTGCGTCAGCACAACTTGGTGAAATGTCTGAAAGACTGCTCGCCCTCACTTAACTCTTCTGTGAGTTTTTATTGTCATTAGGGTGAACTTTGGTATTCCTCTTCAGTTTAGACCCCAGTTCAGATTCTAGGGTTAGAAACAGTACATTGATCATTAGATTTTCTAAAATAATACAGAAGTAAACCAGCAGTTTTTTCTTTTTTATTTGCATTTTTTCCAGGTTTGTTTTTGTTTAACACTACACAGCTCAAATAGAATGAATAAGTAAAAAATTTTGGTTTCTGTAGAAAGGACCCCACAATACAGGAATACAGTAGTGAATGGGACATAGCAGATAGATGACTGCCAATTATTTGTTTTCTCTTTCTCACTAAGCTATACATTCAAAAGCCTGCGGCACTGTGTGAGTGCTGGGGAGCCAATCAACCCTGAGGTGATGGAAGAATGGAAAGTCCAGACTGGGCTAGATATTCATGAAGGCTATGGACAGACAGAAACAGTATGTTCTGCTTTACAAATGTGAAAATGTATGCTTTACAGATACAGCAGTAAATTCAGTTCAGGTTGCCAAGAAAAAGTGATTAAAATCATTTATATGCAGTTATGAATTTCAGGGGAAAAGTCAATTGCAATAAGCAACACTGGAAAACTGTAGTTTTTATAAGTCATAGAACAATCATAATAGCTTCACCCAAAATCCAAGGACTGTTTTTCATTCCTGTAGGCTTTGCATTGAGAACTAACACAAAAGGGGTATATTCCTCACTAGTGCATTCCAAATTCTGCTTTAGAATCTATCTTTAGAGCACTCACTAACATTATTTGGAGCTATGGGCATGATTCTGAGGGCATAGTTTATTTCTAGAAGTTTAATCATTGGATATATTGTTATAATGAAGACAATTATTATTTCTCATAGAAATACACAATATTGGCTGAGTATTTTAAACCTAAGCTAAAGACTGAATATACAAGCCACAGTTTAATTAAAAAAAAAAAGCAAACAACACAACAAACCAGACCCAAACCCAACAACACTTGTTACAGGTGCTGATCTGTGGAAATTTTAAAGGAATGAAAATCAAACCTGGCTCTATGGGAAAGCCATCTCCAGGGTATGATGTCAAGGTACCGTACATCTGGTGACTCAGTCTCTCTCTCTTGCATAATCACTGTCCTTTAAAGAGGTTTGAAAGCTCTAACACAAAGTTGTACCGTGTACCGTCATTCAGCAGTGAATGAAAGAGTGAAGAAATTCATGTTACTGCCCTAAACTGAGTGTGCAAAATAAGCAATTGGACTTCCCTGTTGCACCATTCTCACCAACACAGATGGCAGCCCACTGCTCACCAACAGTTAGATATTGAGACAATGATAGAAATGAAATTGCTGAGTTGAGGAAAAGTTGGAGTGAATGTTGTTTCCTGGTGATAACAAAACTGCTGAAGCAGATTCGAGCACCAGATCAATTTGCAATATGGATTAAAATGTTGAGTATCTTTCTTTCAGTTCTTAAGTTTTCTCACCCCATTACTTATGATCCTCCCTGGGCTCTTACTAACTTCATTACCTGTTTCATGGTACTTGGAGTTCCTCAGATAAGAGACAGTGTGAAGTACAGTGGATTAGTAATAATCTTACACGTCAGTTGTCAAGAGTAAGACCCCCTACTGCTCCAAATCATTTCCCAATTTAAAAAGTTCTTTGATTATGTATTTTAAATACACACCAAGATTCTATAATGCTTTTTTATTTGACTCTGGGATAATAAAACTGTTTTGTTTATTTTTAGATTATAGATGAAAACAGTAATATTCTGCCTCCTGGAAAAGAAGGAGATATTGCCATCAGAGTAAAACCTACACGATCGCTTTTTCTTTTTACTTGTTATGCTGTAAGAATACTTTTGCAGTTAAAGTAGATATCCTGCTAAATCTCTGTCACAAGGAATGTAGTGCCCGTTTCATTTACATATACTCTGCTTACTGGTCTAAAAACCTGTGGGGAGGAAAGAGGGATTTACATTTTTTTCCTGCAGATGCTTGGTCTACTTATACAAACAATTAAGCGTTCGATGAGATTGTCCTGCCTAGCAAGTTAAAATCCACTTTATTTTGATTGTTATTTCCTTAATATAAAGGAAAATGTTTGATGGACCCCCTAATCCCAAAACACTCTTTGGCCTAAGGACTAGAGCCCCCATCTGAGAAGCAGGACACTGTTCAGATCCCTTCCCTGCAGATTTGAGCTTTGTGCAATGTTTCACATACAATAAAGTGTTTCTTTTTTTCCCATGTTGCTTGGAATTTTCAGGCCCAACAACCAGCAGAACAAATGACGATAGTGCTTTCAGTTCTGACACCAGGAAACCTCATTAAATTTTATGGATAGTATCAGCCTATAATCAGGTCTCCTGAGCAGTACTGAGCATGCGGGAATGGAACACCATGCATACTGCCTAGAAAAATTCTTGCAGAAATCAGTTGCATCTCCTGTAGAAAGAAGGCTTATCAGTTGCTCTTATTAATTGTGCTGTGCTGAGCCAAAACTTTTCTGGAGGTAAAAAAAAATAATCTCAGGATAGGAGATGCTAGAAATACAAAGGGAAAAAAAAACATTAAAGGATAATTGCCTAAAAGCAAAGTCTCAGTTCCATAAGCCTACATATTTTTGCAACCTTCAGTGGTTCCTAAAGCCATGGGGCATAATATAATAAGATTAAAATTTTAGGTCAGTCACATTTATTGCAACTTATTAATTTTTATATCTAGTTTTGTAGCTTAGTAATGGTGAATTAATTAATGGTGAATTATTCTTAATGTCCCACTTGAGTCGTGACCACAGCATGGACCAGTCTGAAAAGCTGAAATTTTTTAATGTTTGACTGCACAATAACTTATATGCTAAATATGTTAGAATGCAATTTCATGTATTTTTCAGGTAGTTTTCATGTAAAATGCAATTTAATCTTTCCTAGGATGATCCAGAGAAAACAGAGGCAACAATACGTGGGGACTTTTATGTCACTGGAGACAGAGGGATTATGGATGAGGAAGGATACTTCTGGTTTGTTGGAAGAGCTGATGATGTCATTAATTCTGCTGGGTAATTTAAGCCTGATTAATCAGTAAACTTGAGTAACAGATGATTCAGATGTGAAGTTATGTTTATGTGCTATCAAATACAACTAAAAGCCCTTTCCTCCATTTCAAAGATACCGTATCGGACCATTTGAAGTAGAAAGTGCCCTAGTAGAGCATCCTGCAGTGGTAGAAGCAGCGGTCGTCAGCAGTCCAGACCCCATCAGAGGAGAGGTAAACAAGTTAAGCAAGGTTATATATTTAAGTAGCTTTGTGCATGCCAGAGCTAATAAAGCCCAACTTCCAAGGGATTTGTCTATCCAGGGATTTGTTTTTCTTTTTTAAATTAAAACTAAATAAATTCAAGTTGGCATTTCAACTCTATCAGACACTGGAGAACCCACACAGGAAAAAACAGACCAAGGCAATTGCCCCAAATCCAATATAACAAAAGCACTGTTTGATTCTTTCCCTGTCATTCAAATACTTAGGTTTTTTTTTCTTTATCAAACGCATATAAATGGCCTGCACAGTCCAGATTAATAGTGAGCCCCCACAGACTTTAGCAAAGCTTTCTGTAGCTGCCCTACACATTACTTTGCAGTTTGTCAGCGAATGTTTGGTTAAAATTTCAAGTCTTGCTGTTGCGCAATACTGTTTCCCTGGCATTTAAACCATTGCTGCTGTAACTTCTTTAGGTAGTGAAAGCCTTTGTTGTTTTAACATCTGACTATGCATCACATGATCCAGAAAAAATGATGAAAGCGCTACAAGACCACGTTAAGAAAGTTACTGCTCCATACAAGTATCCCAGGAAGGTGAGTGCTTAAATACCCAGATAATTTTCACTACCATAAGGCAGTGGGTGTTAACTGTTCTGTGGCTTCCAAGCCTCTGCCACTGAGGTTAAGAAAAAGTAAACTCTTATTTTTGTACTGCAATTTCCTCTCTTTCCCAATAGATGGAGTTTGTTCAAGAGTTGCCAAAAACTATTAGTGGGAAGATCAGAAGAAATGAACTGCGCCAGAAGGAGTGGAAAAAAGATTAAAAGTACCTCGTGCTTTATTATAGTATTTTTTTTGAGAGTAAGATATTGCAGATTTACACAGTAACTTATAGTAAGAGACATTGTACTATGTCCTTCTTAGATTAGGTCTGAATAAATTCTTAGCCAATTCCCAGCATTTGGCTGTCCCAGGTTCCACATGACTAGATAATAGTACAAAAGCAGGCAGACTGATACAAATGAAATGGGAAACTCATGTAGTCAAGAGCGCAATAGGTGATGTGTGTTAAACAAACTAATGAACTGTCACCAGCATTTTATCTTTATTGTTATTTAATTTAAAGGATTTTAAAAATAGTAAGAGTTTAAGAGAATACTATTGCTTCAAGAATCACTTTTGAGAAGGACAGAACGACAACTTCTAAATAAATTTAAAAAGTTGAGTTGTAATCATTGCAAGTATTTAGAAAAAAGCATAAATAAAATCTGTATCATTAAAATGTTCTTTAAGGACTGGACTAGTAAAGAATTTAAAACACACAGCAGAAATTAAGATTTGTAGCAACAGCTGCTCATACTTTAATTTTAGCACTTAATGATCTTATCTATTCTCTCACACTTCATTAACAAGATACTTTATGATATATTGATATTTTTGTATGCTTGATCAATTTCTATGTATGTTAACCAAGCACTGTCATTTTTGTCCCACTCTCAGAACATATATCTGACGTCATTTGACTGTCCTGATTATATTAAGCATGAATTTTCAAGTTCTCATAGAGGGTCTAAGACACAAATACTTCTTGTTGGAAGAACTTCCTAAATTATTAGCGTAAGTTCCAAGAGAGGTCAAAGCATCTGCATTCAGGGTGATACCATTAGATTTCTCTTTCAGAAGCGCATATTCCCACTTGAAGTATCCACAACCTTTCTTATTACCTTCGTGCTTCCCAACAGGACAACAAAAAAATGCTTTGCCGTGATTTGGACCAGTATTTGACACATGCAGTTTTTTAGCTCTTCGACCGCAGTTACACAGAGGGGGAGTTGATTTTCCATTTTTCACAGTTCTTACAGAGTGATTCAAATTGGCTGTGGAGTTCAGAATGGCAGGAGACACATTGGGCAAATTTGAGCTTCTTAAAGGTAAGGAATGATCAAAAGATGCAGTTTTCTCTTGATATATAGCAAAAGACTGTTTTTTTGCTGGCGGGAACATTTTTGGACTAGTTGGCTTTCTTTTATGAACCTCCGAAGGAGTAGAATAATTTCCAGTTAATGCTGATTGTGCTGAAATAGCATTTATCTTTGCAGATGGTAACTTAAAAACTGAAAAATTTGAAGTCTGCCTTTGTACCATCTCTACATTATAGATAGTAGTATCAGGACTTCTGTAAACGATAGATTTCAGAGGTTCCACAGGTACTACAGTTTTCTCCAAACTTTGATTATCTAAACTCACCACAGTCGATTGTTTTGAAATTGTTTTTTCTTCAAGCACTGTTAAAATATCTGTACTTGAGTCATCTTTGAATTGAACACAGTCTGAATTTTGTTCATATTGAGATTCTGGTATTAAAGCAACATCTTCCCAGTCAGTCAGCAGAGATAAGCAATCAGAAGTAGTACTAATATCCTCACTGGAGATATTAACTGAAGAAATGGTAGTGGAGACGAGCACTAGTCCCGATCCCTGTACTGGAGCGCTATATGTGGCTGTACGCAGAGGTTGCCTGTTGCTCAGTCCTTGCTGAATGCCTGTTGATACAGTACTGTGAGATTGCTGTGCCTGCTCAAGAGGAACAGGAAATCTGTCAGTGGATGCTGTTAAAGAGCTTTGGGCTTGAGCATGTAACTCAGTCCTTGAGCTGCTGCTAGGTACAGCGTGGACATCTGCAGAGGAATCAATGCGAGTGGTCTGTTGTTCTTCCGTTTGTACATTAGAATTTATCTTAATTCCAGCAATGCTGTTGTGTTTTTTCTCAGCCAGAGAGTTTGTTTTGCAAGTTCCACCTCTAGATGTTTCAGGTCTGCTGTTACTTCCCAGTGGAGTCTTGTCAGTGAAGTTTATAGCCGATGTTCCGGAAATTAAATTATTCTTCAGATGTGCCTAGGGAGTCCGTAAACAAAAGGATATTTTGGAAAGTGAATACCCAGAAGTTTTAGGAATCAATGCACAAAATTAATAAGCATATCAGCCTAGGGATGTTCTGTTCAATTCATAGTCAAGATGCTGGGTTTATTATTTGAATAGCTCACTTTTCATCTGTATTCCAGGCTACAAAGGACAGGTAGGATGGGGCTTTGAGCAACCTGGGCTAGTAGGTGTCCCTGCCCATGGCAGGGGGATTGGAACTAGATGGTCTTAAAGGTCGCTTTCAACCTAAACTGTTCTGTGGTTAAAGCAAGTAGAAGGGAAGAACTGAAGTAGTCACTAACCTTATCCAAAGACTTAGTAACCTTCAGCACACAGCCGTCGCAAATCAGCCTCCAAGCAAGACGGGCAGTATTCCGAGAATCATCCAACCCTTCAAAAGTATGGTTATATGAATGTATTCTTTTTAAATTACTACTGGGGTTAGCTCTTATTAGAGGAAAAATGTAATCTAGGTAAGATTTACATAAATGACAGGAATTCAGAGAACTCTGCCATATAGTTACCTAATTTGAAAAAGGGAAGCAGAAGAATTACAAAAAAAATCCCTGTGCTGAAACACCTGAAGGACCAATCCATAGAGCTGAATATATATCCACAATTTTTAAAATCCTTGCTCTGTTTTATTAATCATGTCCAAAAAAAAAAAAAAAAATCATACTGTGCTGGTATTCTCTTACACTAATATGCTGTCCAGAGCTATTGGGTAAAATCAAGTTTCCTTATCCTTCCTCCACCTCTTTTCTTTTGCACCTTAGCAATTGATCTTGTTGAACATGCACTCAATAGCACTAGGAGAGATTTCAGAAATAGCGCATGAGGTTAGAAATAACAAACTGTGATCTTTGAAGCATCTAGCCTTTCTTGTTTTGATGTTATTGTTGGACAGAACATTGCATAATCTAGAAACAATAGTTACTATTTAGAGTAATGACTAGCTATTACTAGCTGCTTTAGTTTAGCTAACTAAAGCTAAATAGTAGCTATTTAGTTTTACAAAAAAAATATATACATTAAAGTGAGGATCATCATATCATACTTACCAGAATGTTCCCGTCCTGCAAAGCTATTCCCAAATCCTGCAAAGCACCACTTAGCCCCTTAGGCTTCCTATTGTAGAAGGCCTATGGAAAAAAATGCAGGTGCTTAACATAAAGCATTTCAAAACCTTTTCATAGTGAAGTGAAAACCATTTCAGAAATATTGCCTTATGAATAATAAATCTCACAAGGCAATTGTGCAAGTCAGGTATCTTCATTTTGCAGTCAGGATAGATAAGCGTAAGACTGTAGGTGACTTACCCTGTAACAAATTAGAATGGAAAGAACCACGAATCCCTTCTTTCAGACTTAAACTAATCCATTCTGTCTTAGCTCTGAAGTCATTCATTTGCACTTTATAGCTTACATTGATGAAGGCCTTAACAGTGCAGCATTGAAGAATACAACTATAAAATCTTGAGATGTTTAAAGTGTTGCGTATTGCAAAGGTATGGGCATTAATATATTTAGCATAGGTATAAATTCTTTTTAAATGAGAAAAAGTGAGTATTGCTACTCACTCACAGTATCTCATTTGATCACAAGAAAGGGGGGAATAGTTCACACTGTTTGTCTTTAGAGACCTGATTCTGCTACCCAGATATGGAGCCTAAGCTCCAAGTGTTGGGACAGGGAGACTCCTGGATCATCCTCTGAAAGTTTCCTTGCCTACTGAGGGGAAGGTACACTGAGGTGCTCTGAGCCCCCAGGTTAGAACTCTACTGCAGTGTATACTATGTAATAAAATATACATTCATTTATTCAGTATTATTCATGCTATTCAGAATATTCTTGCTGGTGCAAGTGCAGTTCACGTGCTAGACCTTTAAGTACTTCTAAACAGATGATGATGACTCTTTTCTACTCAGCAATGTAAGGCAGCAATAAGAGCACACAAAACTAGGGAAGTTAGGAAGCAAGGAGAGCAAAAGATGTCAGGAAAGAAAGAGTAGCTCAAAAAATTCTCCTAGAATTATTGTTCATTTATCAACAATAACACCATGTTGTTTTCCTAGCATTAAGAGTTCCATTAAAATTCACGCAGTTCTAGGACATGCAATTTGTTACTGAGGAATAACAACATGAAAAGTAAACAAAGGAGTTACTCTAGTCACTGGAACATACAATATTGGCTTATACCCTCAGATAGAGTTAGCCTTTGAGATGATAATATGGGTATAAGTGTTTCACAGTCTATCGATCTTCTCACCCTGTATGTTGCTTTGAGATCAATCCAGGAATTTAAAATGTCAGGTTTTCGCAGCTGCTTCCTTTTACACTCATACTGCAAGCACACACCCAGGTCCCAGTCTGTACAGGAGAAAACCCACAAATAATCCATCACTAAAGAACTGGCCTAAAATCTACATAAACATGACTTAAAATCTACATAAAGGGACATACCATCAACATACTAGTAGTGTCCTGTACTGCTGGACAGGAAGCATAGGCTAACAGGCTTCGTTAGCACAGGCCAACAAAGTCTTTGTACATGAAAAGCACTAGGGTTGCTGCCATGGAACGGGAGGGTAAATGAATGCCTATTGTTAGTGAAGAGTGACTTCATGATGGGTAAAAATCTCAAACACCTCATTACATCATTTAGACACGTTAAGGATGGTGACGCAGTTCACTAAATGTAAAGCAGACAAATGTAACGATGTCAGACCCTGGAGACAAAGATGTCATAAACGCATCAGGATTCAATGGATTTCCTATTTTCAGTTTTATCCCAATATTGCACATCTTTAACACCTAAAACCAGGATTTTGACTCCCTAGAAGTAAAGACGCAGTCTCACTAGCACCACCAAATGTTCATTTTCTATGTGTACTATTCTGGAGAAAAAGGAAATGGAAATTTTATTTACCTGTCCAAGTAACAAAGGTACATGGTTTTGCCTCTGAAGTTGAATGACTTGGAATATCTGAACTGAATATAATTTTCTTCTCCTTTTGTATTTTTTGAATCCATTTCAAAAACTGTGATAAACAAATGTTTAGAGGAACACCTTCATCAACCTGATTCTTTATGAAACAGAACAAGAAGTATGCGTTAGTATGCACTGAAATTCATCTGAGATTTGTTTTTCTTTAGCCCTTTAAAGGCATGCTTAAAAAAAAAAAACAGTAAATAGCAATTATAACGGTGTAAAATAATACTAAATAGCAGTTATACCTGTGTTATGCCAGTTAGTTCTGTACAAAATTCAGAGAGAATAGGATGCTCCTGGGGCTGGACATATGTGTGGAATTCAGATTCAATCTCTCCTGTTGACGTGTTTAACAGGACCGCTGGAAATTCAACTGTGCCAAAAACAAAAGGAAAAAAAAAGAACAAAGAAAAAAAAACCAACAACCCAACCCAAACCCGAAAACGTTGTGTTTGGCCAGAAAGGTTAAAGCAGTTCACAGAAATTATTCCAGTTGCTTTAAACTGGGGTTGAAATGTCAGGAACTGGAAGGAACGCGGTGAAACGCAGGCAGGGCGTCCCGAGCTGCC